CCGACGGAATTATTCCGGAGGTGTTTAAATATGGGGGTGACATACTAGTTTGTAGATTAACTGAGGTACTAGGCAAAGTCTGGGAATCAGAGACAGTACCATCAGACTGGGGTAAGTCACTCATTATACCGATATTCAAGAAGGGAAACAAGTCCTCGTGTGATAATCATAGGGGGATCAGCCTAACGAACATAGTCTCTAAAATCCTAGGCTCAGTAATCATGCATAGACTAAGCAGAACTCGGGAGGAACAGACAAGGGAAAATCAAGCAGGCTTTAGACCAGGTAGAGGGTGCATAGATCATATCTTCACTCTTCGACAGATTCTAGAACATAGACACACTTTTCGGCGTCCAACAATTGTCATATTTCTTGACTTGAAGGCGGCCTTCGACTCCGTGGATCGAAAGGTACTATGGCAATGTCTGACTGTGAAGGGAGTGCCAAGAAAGTACATTGCACTAATCAAGGCACTCTATTCAAACTCACGTAGTCGTGTAAGGGCTTATGGGGAATTGTCATCTGAATTGGTAACAACCAGTGGTGTCCGACAGGGATGTCCACTTTCCCCATTTCTGTTTAACTTCATCATAGATATGCTAATGGAAGTATCCTTAACTGAACGTAGTGACTTAGGAATCGACTTGTTACCAGGGAATAATCTAATGGACTTAGAATATGCAGATGACATAGTCCTGTTAGGGGAGGATGCTGACAAAATGCAGAGTCTTCTGAACACCTTGAGCAGCAATCTTCGTATGTTTGGCATGCGATTCGCCCCTGCAAAATGTAAGATGCTGCTACAGGACTGGACGACGTCAACCCCTAACTTAGTGATAGGGAGTGAAGTGATAGAACATGTTGACCACTTCACCTACTTGGGAAGTTGTATTAGCACCAACGGACTGATTGGCGATGAAATCTCAGCACGGATCCGAAAAGCTCGAGCTGCTTTCGCTGACTTACACCATCTCTGGCGTAGGCGTGACATCCGGTTATCAACCAAGGGACGTGTGTACTGCTCATCAGTTCGCTCCGTCCTTCTCTATGGCTCTGAAACATGGCCAATACGCGTTGAAGACATGAAAAGGTTGACTGCTTTCGATCATAGATGTCTGCGATCTCTGTCTCACGTTAGGTGGTTTCACAAGATAAGTAATGTTGACGTTAGGCGTAGAGTGTTGGGCAAAGAGGGAAAATCAATCGACGAGGTTATAAAGTTACATAGACTAAGATGGCTAGGTCACGTGGTGCGCATGCCTAACCACCGCCTCCCCCGACGGGCATTGCTAGCTGATATAGGTTCAGGTTGGAAAAGAGCCAGTGGTGGCCAAACAAAAACATGGCATCAATCCATGAAATCCTTGACAGTTAAACTGAGTCAGGTAGGGAGATGCAGACTCCCGGGTTGGGGCCCTCGGGACTCTAGGAATCAATGGCTGGAGACAATAGGTGACATGGCTCAAAATCGTTGTCAATGGCGCAGATGTATTCAGTCTCTGTAATCTTTCATATTCCTTTCTACCATTACCCATTCTGTTTCACTCTTATACTTGTCAAACTCTATTGATTCTCTTCACTCATCTTCTTGTCTACCTCTGTGTGCTATTTGGAACGTGGCAACTCGAACTGCTGCACTTCGGTGCCAAGTTCTATGTTGAATCCAGCCAGCCAGTCTGGATAGCTGTTTTCAATTAAGGTGTCATATACGACGCTAAGCTCATCTTCAGTTACATCTTCTGAGCATATAGCTATGACACTGTAACTGAGTATCCTAATTAAATTCCTTTTGTACTAGAGAGGAAAAAAGCTATAAAAATGTGTACATTGTCTTGTCCATGTGTTTTTCCTGTGCGAATTTCTCCAAATGATCATTCATCACCAATCTAACTGGTTGTTAACTCTCTCCATTGCGTAATATTACTTACTACTTTTTTCCACACATCCACAGAAACCCCTGAGGACCTAGATTTTGTGCTTGTTGGCACTCATCAGCAAGGCATATCTGTCTGTCTGCACCGATGTGCGACAGTTCGAGTGGCCACACTCCATGTAGCACATAAAGCAAGAGAAGAAAGTATAAGAAAAGCATAATAGAGACAGTAAACAGAGGTGTGAGACAAAGGAATAGTAATAACGAAGAATAATATAGTTTCATTGAAAATCATAAGTCACAGGGAGTGGATGCAACTGAGCCATTAGGAACGATTACTTTGAGCCATATCACCAATTGTTTCCAACCATTGGTTTTTACCGTCCCAAGGACCCCAACCAGGAAGTCTACACCTTCCTAGACTAACTGTTGTAGGTTTCATTGACTGGCGCCATGTTTTGGTTTGACCGCCACGAGCTCTTTTCCAGCATGACGCCATGTCAACTAACATTGCCTGTCGAGGAAGGCGATGACTAGACATACGTAACACATGTCTTAACCATCTCAGTCTATGTAGCTTCACAGCCTCGTCAATTGATTTCCCCACCTTACCTAACGCTCGACGCCTAATCTCACCTTATTATACCACTTCACACGGGAGATAGAACGCAGGCACCTATGATCGAAGACAGGTAATCTTTTCATGTCTTCCACTCTCAATGGCCAGGTCTCACAGCCATAAAAGCGGACTGATGAGCAGAACACACACCCTTTGGTCTATAGCCAGACGGATATCACTTCTACGCCAGAGACGACGTAAACTGGCATATACGAAACTAGCCCTCTGTATCCGTGCGGAGATTTCGTCAGAGATCAACTCGTTGGGGCTGATGGTACTTCCCAAATAAATGAAGCGGTCAACGTGCTCTACCACTTCACTCCCTATTTCTAAACTAGGAGTCAGTGTAGTCTAGTCCTGTAACAACATCTTGCATTTGGCGGGAGCAAATCACATGCCAAACAATTGTAGATTGCAGCTCAAGGTGTTTAGAAGACTGCATTTTTTCCGACTCCTTGCCTAGAAGGACTATATCGTCTGCATATTCTAAGTCAACGAGATTATTCCTTGGTAGCAAGTCAATCCCTGAGTCGCTGAAGTCACTTAGGGTTAAGTTCATTAGTGCATCTATGATGAAGTTGAATAGAAAAGGGGATAATGGGCATCCTTGACGGACACCACTAGTCGTCACTACTTCAGATGACAACTCGCCGTAAGCCCTCACTTAGCTGCATGAGTACGAGTAGAGTGCCTTAATCAGTGCAATGTAATTTCTCGGCATTCCCTTTACAGCCAAGCATCGCCAGAGAACCTCTCGGTCGACAGAATCGAATGACGTCTTAAGGTCAAGAAATATAATAATTGTTGGACGCCGATAGGAATGCCTATGCTCTAGAATCTGTCGGAGGGTGAAGATATGATCAAAACACCTTCTTCCTGGTCTAAAGCCTGCCTGGCTCTCTCGTGTTTGTGACTCCCGAGCACCACTTAGTCAACGCATGACTATGAGCCTACGACTTTATGTACTATATTAGTCAAGCTAATCCCTCTGTGGTTATCACAGGAAGACTTGTCTGCCTTCTTGTATATGGGGGATAATAAGTGACTTACACCAACCCTATAGGACTTCCTCTGATTCCCAGACGTTGCCTAGCACTTAAGTTAATGCAAACTGTCTCCACCGTACTTAAATACCTCTGGAGTCATTCCATCAGGTCCCGCTGCTTTGCCTTGTTTCAGATTAGTGACAGCTTTACTAACCTCAGTTAAGGAAGGAGGACCTTTGTCTATGTCCCATTCAGGGAGGTGTTGGATGTTCGGCACGTTGAGCGTGGCTGTAGGCCAAATAAACTGCTCCTCATAGTGTTTTTTCCAGTCGCCTATCCTGAGATTGTTTCACTTATCATTTGCCTTTTACCACCTGTTTCCCTGATAAGCCTAAATAGTTGTCTGGTGTTGCCAATCTGCGATGCCTTTTCCATCTCTTTCGCTTTTGTCACCCACCAGTATTCATGGTCGTTGAGGAGACTTCTTGTTAGTTTTCGTTTGAGTAGCTTTCGCTCCCCATCATAATCGGAGCTAGCCAGAATCAGTCTTTTTGCGTCAATATGAGGCGGTAGAGATCCAATGGTTCTTACTAACTTTTGGTTTTAGCTTATTAACAGCTTTTACAACTGTGTCTACAGCTAACTGTATGTTGTGCCAGGCTACCTAAGGGGAAGTCCTGCTGTCGACCTCAGACATTCGTTTCGCTATTTCTTCCTTAAATAGGGACTCAGTGTCTCGATCTAGTTGGAGACGTAACTGTTTCGCTACCGTCAATTTCTTATGTCCATTTAGTCGTAAGCATAAACGTGCGCGAACCAGAGCGTGATCAGAGTCTACGCACGTGTTCCAGAAGGAGCGACATTCTTCTACTGACCCTCGCCAACGATACCCTATGGCTATGTGGTCTATCTGAGTCCAGCATTGATTTGGTGATAGAGGTCGCCAGGTTACACAATGTTTCTCCTTGTGCCTAAAGTTAGTGCTCACTAGGAACAGATGATTATCAGAGCAAAACTGTAGAAGACGATCACCGTTGTCGGTTCGTCGGCAGGGAACTCCATACGTACCACCTACATACTTCTCAGTCTGACACAACTTCCTTCCCAACTTGAAGTTGCCTGCTAAAACAATTATATCTGAACGTTTTGCTTTTTGCAGCAAATTAGACAGTTTCAGGTATAAGTCATCCTTTAGTTCATCCAAACTGCAGTCTGTTGGGGCGTAGGCGAAGACTACGAAAAGGCTCTCTCAAGGTCATTTAAAGCATATGTAAATATATGCTAGCACTGTCGATCATTTTCATTGTTGGTATGAGACAATAAAATCTCTCCTTGTCAGTGGTCTGTCTTCTCTTCTTGCGCCGCATCGCATTTTCAGTGGTATCGCATTGTGTCGTCATTGTTGTTGCTCGTATTTGTCAGAACAATAGGCTTGCAAATCGACTAGGTGCGAAATTCATCAGTGCAACTACCAAGTGCATCAACGGTCAGACCAGATAGGCAGGGAAAAGCAAGAGATTTCACTCTCCAAGGCGTTTTATTTTTTAAACTTTTCTTTTACCTGTATACAACAACAACAGCACAAATAACAAACAAATTAGAAAGAGGAAAGCAGTTGTCAATCAGAATTCACAGAGAAAAAAGCACACAAAGAATACCGTAACTAGTTGTGATTATTGTTTTTCTTTCAATAATACTAATAGAAAAAAATGCATCTCACTAATCGAAAGTGTTTTGTTGGTGTACATGCCGCCAGCGAAGAAAAAGAAAGTTAACAAATTAAATTACAACATCAAGTAGTTGAAATAGCTTAGAAGAAATATATCACAAAGCCGCCAGAGTAAGATGATCTACTGACGGTCCAGAAGTTGACGATGATGAAGTTTGATTCGATGGCGTCAACAATGCTGTTGTATTAGTTGTTGAAGCTGTTTTACTTAAAATTGGCTTATTGTTAAATTGTGTAGCTCTCAATGACTCGAATAGAGGTTTTCTTTTTAAACTAATTGAAAGGCAATCAGATGAATTATTTGAATTACTAATATTGGTCATGGTAGTATTAAAAGAGGTAGTTATGGTAGTGCTCGTAGTAATCTTATTATTATTATTATTATTATCATTACTATCGTTACAAGAGGATTTTGAATCGTTAACATTCATTTTGTCGAGTGATGATTGAACTGGAATATTTTGAACAGTTTTAACCGGATCACATAAAACCTACAGCGCGGCAGGATGGTGATAAACAAAACAATACTAGAATGTATGAGGTTGAAAGAAAGAATTGTGGTGCATTTAAAATTAACAGAGCAGAAATTATTCACAGAAGAAGATGATTTGTTTGACTGTGAATAAAGTCATCATTCGAAGTCATCTTTGCGTGAGTTGAAATGGTTTAATCTAACGCCTAAAACTAATAATCCTAGTAGAATGTATAGATAGCACAATCGAAATCCGTAAAGTAGACTATCCTATTAGGTAAACGGTTGACTTTTAGTGACAGCCCGATATATACGAGTTATCAAAATATTAGGTAGGCATCAATGGTATGCTCTATTACAGACAGGCCGCATTCTAGGCTAGCCAGTTTCTACATATGGAAACAGAAGCTAGAGGAAATTCAATTAGAAAAAGATGGAAAATTGATTCGTTTTGACATAACCAATTTGTACACTAATATTTCGATTAATACAGCTCTGGAGGCAGTTAGGAATGAAGTGAACATTGATCATGAATGCCAAGCCATCGCCTCCCTCGACGAGCTATGTTAGCGGATATAGGGTCAGGCTGGAAAAAAGCTAGCGGCGGTCAGACAAAAACTTGGCATCAGTCAATGAAATCCACAACAGTTGGTCTAAGCCACGTAGGAAGGTGTAGACTTCCAGGCTGGGGTCCTCGGGACGGTAAAAATCTATGGTTGGAAACAATTGGTGACATGGCTCAAAACCGTTCTCAGTGGCGCAGATGCATCCACTCCCTGTGACTTATGATCTTCAATGAAACTGTTTTGTTCTTCGTTATTACTCCTTTGTCTCACACCTCTGCTCACTGTCTCTATTATGCTTTTCTTGTACTTTCTTGTCTTGCTTCGCGTGCTACACGGAATGTGGCGACTTGAACTGGCGCACATTTGTGCAAAGTTCTATGTCGAAAACAGACAGACATGAATTGAAAGACAGGAGTAAGCTCTCGGTTGATGAAATAGTATTGAGTGTTCAGTTACCTCTAACCTCTACTATATTCAAATTTCTAAAGAAGCTATATAAAAAAACGAATATTGTGGCGATGGAATCACCAACATCCTCGATCCTAGGTCAGTCAGCTGACATCGACCGTCAAGGAAGGAGATCTATGGCTAGGCATGCGTGCGTAACACATGTTCTAACCATCTCTCTTAATCGATGCAGCTGCTCCACAATTCATTCCTCCGCCTTACCCTAGCACTCACTTGACGCTTAACCTCAATATTGCTCAACTTGTTATACCACCTAACACACACGGGAGGTAGAACATAGATACCTGTGATCAAAAACAGTTAACTAGCTCATCCATATCTTCCACTTTCAAACAACGTCCATACCTCACTCACAGCCATAAAAACGGACAGAGACAACTACTGAGCAGCACACACGTCCTCTGATCGACAGCCAGCCGGATATCACGTCTACTAAGTCACAGATGGCGTAAGTTGACAAACGCATGAAGAGCCTTCTGTATCCATAGTGAGATTGTGTCAGCGATCAATCCATTGGCGTTGGCTGATGTAACTACCAAAATAAGTGAAGTGGTCAACACGCTCCACCAACCACTTCACCCCTGCCTATCTTTAAAGCCTGGATAGAGTCGATGTAGTCTACTCCAGTTCAGTCCTGTAGCACTCATCATCTTACATCTAACAGGAGGAGCGGGTCACATTCCAAACATTCACAGATTGCTGCTCAAGGTGTTTCGAGGACTCTGCTGGATTTTATCAGCATCTCCACTTAAAAGGGCTGTATTATCTGCATATTCTAAGTCAACGAGACTATTCCCTGATGGCAACAAGTCAATCCCTTGGTCACTGAAGTCAGTAAGAGTTACGTCCATTAGTACATCTATGATGAAATCAAACACAAATGGGGGCAATGGGCATCTCTCGCTGACGGACAGCACTACACTGTTTGTCACTACTTCAGATGACAACTCTGCATGAGTTCGAGTAGAGTGCCTTAATCAGTGCTGTGTATTTTCTCGGCATTCCCTTAACAGTCAAACATTGCAATAGTAAACTAAGCAGAGTTTAGGAATGGCGTCAGCTGGTAATCAAGCCTGGAGAATACGGACAGCTGAATAAAGTTTCACTATTCCTGTGCTCATTTAAATTGTAATTACAGCTTGTGTTTATGAGCTGATAAGAAAGTGATGAAATATAAAGTTTTCTTTTCTTTTCTTCCTCTTGAAGGGAAGCTAAATACATATTAGATACTAACGTGTCAAAAGATGACAAAACCCACCATAATGACTTTTACTGTACAAAAAAAGGACAGCAACCAGAAACACGGAAAACTCACCTGAGAATTGTACTTTACGTCCATATTCACAGAAGGCATCACTTTTTGATCAGACGGCTTATTTTTACACCAGTCATTAAATGCTAACCGACAGTGTTCTCCAACACATTCTGTTGAACAATATTGACCATTCCATCGAGGATCGTAGATAACTGGATTTTGACAGGAAGGATTACAGCAAATTTTGTTATTTTCGCTTATCTTTACCAATAGGTAAAAACAAACATCATCAGGTAGGAAGCAAGGAAGATGAAAAGAAAGAAAAGAAAAGGAAACTGGTTAAACAAACAAAAAAGCCTCTAATAATTTACCAAGTGAACACATTGGAAAGGTTCTGTAAAAATAAGACACTAATTCTAAGCTAAAAGGCCATGCGTCATATTTATTGTGTGTGCGTGTGGGGGGCTGCTAATACTACCCCATTTACCCAAAATGAAACCGGTGAAGCAAGATTGGGGACCCGGGAGGCACTAGCTCAAGGTCAAGTGTTAAAGTCAACCCTCAAGTAGTGATTTTGTTTGATTGGTTAGAGGATTTCATCATGAACTGACGTCAGTTAGAGAACCATTGGAAAACCAGTTGGGAATACTGGGCGGCTGTTTCGTCCTAGTTTGGGACTCTTCATCAGCATGCACTCACAGGGGCCACTAGGTCTAAGGCTATAATAATGTGACGATAATAGTTTGGCATTGTTGAAATGATAACACTTAGACTGGAAATAACATCCATCTCAATGGAACACAACTTATTTATACAGCGTCACATGATGTCTCCATGCTGAACTTTTTAAACAATCAAAAAGTGGAGAAAAGGCGAATATTTGACCAAGGACAAAACTTCGGGAATAAGCTCAAAAATATTATTATTATTATAAACAAAAGCTAATCATAAACAGTATAAATGCATAAATAATAAATAACGTCTAAAGGGAAGAACATACTAAACTCAAAAGTTTCGAACGATATTCCGTAAAGTTCGTTAGTTGCTGGGACCGGACTGCCACCAAAGCCCGTTTTTTGTATTCCTGAAAGGAAATACAATTAACATCTGTATGAAAAGAGTAACATTCGAATTTATCAAACGCAAACATAATCGAAGTGAGGTTAGACTGGCACAGTTTGGTTAGACAGGTAAGATCAGAAATGTGATTTCATGGTTTTTAAATATCAGTCAGGAATTTCCAAAAGGGTCTCTCAAAAGTAAATAACTGAGTACCATACATCAAAAGTAGTGCTATTGTGGTGAGAGCTGACTGCTAGCCAAATTGATAGACAGTAATTTACGTCAAAGTTTACGTCCCCAATATTGGTCGTGAGAAAAATAAGAACAAAGACTGATTCAACAACCAATCACAGAAGACTTCGCGTGGGCGGATACAATTTGCAGATACACAATCTGAACTTCAATAAACGGTCACAAAGAGATGAAAGATTAACGTTCAACGAGAAACCACCAATCAGAAGACTGTGTTTGTTTGCTTACAATAATCTATAATAATGTACATGAAAATCTATAAATATGTGTTGATTTCCTTAACAGACAATCTGTCACCTGGCCCTTGTCTTCTTTTGTTACACTATGACTGACAATAAGTTCTACAAGCTCTACGAACCACATGTATAAATTTGTAGCAGCTAACTGCAATGTCAACCGAAGCAACAATACGCCACCAACACGTGAAATGAAGAGAGGAGACAGACCACTGTCAAAAGGGGTTTTACTATCAAGAACAATAAGTTAACTACCACCAGTTGATGTACTTGCTTCGTAAGTGAAAATCATCGGCTCAAATACTCGTAGGGTTCTATGCTAGCGGTTCTCAGGAGATTTACGCTAAGATAGAACAGTTTTACTTGTGACTGTATGTTTTTTTTAATAGGCCTTAGATTCCTTTTATGAATCATCTTGCCTAGATAGCACAAAACCTTTATCCAGCAAGTATCCAACTGACCAGTACTCTATACTTTAGTGCATTGTTTAGGATTGAATGTGGAGTAAACTAGTGGAACATAATTATATCGTTTATTAAATGAAAATAGACTCAAAATCGAATGTTTTACGAAATAATGCCTCAGTTTCTGTGCCTTTTCATAAAGGCAGAATCTCACACAGTTACAGAGTTTAACAGTATGTATGTTTTTCAAGTTTTCCCACGGATTGATATCAGTTGCAGAACCATTGAAAACCCGTTGGGAGTGATGGACAGCTGCTTCGTGCTAGTCTGGGACTCATCCGCAGTACACACCCAAAAGGTTTCCGAAAAGTGGTTCCCATGACCCAGTGGGCAACGCCGCTTTGGAATTTTGAGGTGATGGGTGTTGAGTTCAAATCTCAGCTGGAATAAAAACCACCCATCGAGGTTGTAGGTATGTATATCCGACTGGTGACTAGTCACAAACAGGGTGTGAACAGTGCAACTTGGATTCATCTGTTAGGCACTATTAACCAAACAATATGCCATTTGCAATGATGAATACATAAAATAACTGACTGTTTAGACTTTGAAAGGAAAAAATGAGAACAACAACTTAGCAAGCACAATAAACAAATGATCTTAAAACAAGCAACGCAGGTTAATAAAACAACGCCACCCTTGAGACCTATACCATCAATGATAAATTCACCAGACCAAAATTCAGCATATTGGCTATGTGAATTATTTCACCATTTGAGAAGACGTTTTCGAATGCATTTAGTTTCTGATTCATTCCAGTTTGTCAGGCAAATTAATGATGTCAGTGTATCTGATGAACATCTGGTCTCTTTCGATGTTACCACCTCTCTGTTCACAAATGTCCCAGTGGTTGCGACTGTTGACTTCATATTGTAGAGAAGCTGAAGACCTATCCATCACAACATCAAAATTCAGGAAATTGTTACTTTTATGTAATGAAAATGTTCAATTCCAATTGGATGGGCGTCTATTGCGTCAAGTTGATGATGTCGCAATGGGAAACCCCTTGAAGCCATTTTCGGCAGATTTAGTCTTGTCAGGTCTAGAAGTCGATGTTTTGAAACAGCGTATACAACAAACGAAAGTATACCTAAGATAGGTTGATGATAATTTTATTGCCTGTGGAAGCAGATCAAAAGCTGAAGAAGACATGCTGATAAAATTCAACTCATATGTGTATCAATTTGAATGTGTTTGTGGGAAAAGCAAATACATATGTCGTACAGAGAGGCGATTGTCTACTTGATTGATAGAGCATTTGTCAAAGTAGTTGAAAACAGCTGAAGTTAAAGTGTTAAAAAGTTCAATAACAAAGCATCTTGTGAACTACGGAAATGATATCGATGCTGTCAAGTCATTCACTGTTGTCAGCAAACAATGGAACAGGAAGACGCCTGCAACTGTGAAGGCTTGTGCAATTAGAGTTTATAAAGCAAGTCTCAGTGCACAAAAGAAAATGGTTGTCACTCTGAAGCTACCATGGTAATACGTTTTACTTATAAAATGTTTCTATCAATAACATTATTAACACTTTATTCTACCTCTTATTGTTGTTATTCCTGATTCATTTAAATCTATCTTTTATCAGTAGCATTATCTCAAGTCGTTTCAAGATTGCTGATATTATTACAACTATTACTACTAATATTGTAACAACAGAAGACAAGGGCCAGGCAACAGATCGTTTATTAAGGAAATCAACACATATTTATACATTTTCAGGTACATTATTATAGATTGGTTGGTTTCTCACAGAGAGTTAACCTTGTATCACTTTGTGGCTGTTTCTTGAATGTCAGATCATCTATATGCTAACTGTATCCGCCTACGCAAAGCCTTTCTACTCATTTTGCTCACGGCCAATCAATATTGGGGACATAAACACTGACCTAAATTACTGTCCACCAATTTTGTCTAACAGCCAGCTCTCACCACAATATTACTCAGTTCGCAATTCTTGATATATCTAACTTCTTCCTCTGATGACTAATTGTTTATCTAAGTGATGTAATGATGAAGCGTGATGCATTTTATCTTAATTTTAATCTCTCATGCTCTGTTTCCCCACTTATCTGTTTGAACATGACCTGAAAAACATTCACGCGTGGGGTTTGGATGATTAATTCAATGTAGTTTATTTGCTTATCAGTCTTATATCTCCGAATGTATTTCCAATGGTGTATATATCCCCATATGTAGACTATTCAGCTGAAGAGTTCTACCGAAATTTGATGAATTCATTAAATCCTGCTTTATTAACACCTTTGTTGTTTGTTTTAAATTCGTATCGGGAAATAAATGATTGAGATATATGCGCATATATACATAATACATATATGCATAATTATTTATTAATACATGAACTTGCCTTCTTTGCATTCTTTGGTAATTGACTCCAACGTTCATTGATTAATCGACATAGATCATAGAAATTAATCATTGGATGTTCAGATTTTACAGTAGACTGAATTTCATGAAAAAACTGTGAATAACCTGTATTCCTAGAGAAGAAAATTTAAGCAAAAAATGAAAATATTTTGAAAGGAATGCAAAGAACACTCCCGCTGTTTTTCTTCTTGAAAATACAGAAGAAGACGAAGAAGAAGAGATATGCGAAATAGTTCAAACAATTATTCTTTTCAGGTGTTGATTTGTAGGCGTTCGATTGGTTTCAAGATTTTGATCACAACTTTATTTCACACTAACTACTTGAAAAATTAGACTAGTGCTCACTAGTGACTGGCTGCGAGAGGAAGTTGCCTGAATTTCCAAGGGGAGATCATCAAGTTGGGTATGAAGAGAAATACTTGACCATGACGTCTGGCTGGTGGTAGCGCTATGTATCACGAATTGGCAGAAATTAGAATTCATCGACCATTGTATTCTGCCAATGGTTGAATGGTCGACGTGGGATCGATCACTGGTGGGGTCACAGATGAATACTGATGAAAAGCCCTCAGCTAGTTCGCGAGGACTCGCAGGTGTAAGAATAGCATTGAGTGTTCGGGCAGAAAAATCACTTCTTGACTGGATCCCAATAGGTAGGTAGTCGTATGTGTGCGGTCCGTCTGAACGGGTCCGTTAGAGGAAGGAACGAAGGACGGTGTTACCTGTCTTTTCGTAGTCTCCACTTAGGCCCCAAGAGACTGCTAGCTGACTTTGATCATAGGTGTCTGCGTTCTGCGTCCCGAGTGTGTTGGATGGTATAATAAGTTGAGCAATATTAAGGTTAAGAGTCGAGTGAGTGCTAGGTAAGACGGGGAAATCAATTGACGAGGTGAATTTTGAGGCAACTGCATCGATTGAGAAAGATGGTTAGGACATGTGTTAAGCGTGTATACCTGGCCATCGCTTTCCTGGAGGGCAATATCAGCTGACTGACCTAGGATCGATCAGCTTGTAAAGAGAAAGAGGTAGTGGTTGCCAGACTAAAAAAACATGGCTTCACCAGTCCATTGACTAAAATCCACAACAGTTAGTTTAAGTCTGCCAGCCACACAGTGAGGTGTAGACTTCCTGGTTGGGGTCCTCCAGATGGAAAGAACTAATGAAGGCTTGAGACAATGGGTGATATGGCTAGCTCAAAATTGTTGTTTTCAATGGCTGGTGCAGATATGCATTCACTCTCTGCGATTTATCATATCCAATGAAACTGTAGTTTTCTTCCGTATTAATCTTCTCTTCATCGCATACTTTTGTTTATGTCTCTTTTGAACCTCTGTTTACTGTCTTCTCTTGCTTTGTTTGCTACAATAAAGGAGTGTGGCAACTCGAACTGCTGCAATTGCACATCTGTGCGAAATTCTACGTTGAAACCAGTCAGGACTAAACAGATGTCTTGTGCTCCTCTTAATTTTTAGTGGCTATCTTACTGGTGTCAATTTGTGGAGAAATCTACCACAATACCAATTAAACACCTAAAATATCAACATCTAAATACTTATTTATTATAACTGCTTGTAACCGATCATGTTATCATGATCCCACAGCATGAAAACCTTTGATGCCATTAGTGGCATCCTAAAGGCCACAACCTCAGCGTGATCGTGTTTGTCATCTGGATGACTACAGTGGATTTTTGACCCCGTGTAAACAATTTAGGAAGTGATAGATTGGTATCGTTTGAGTAACATGGATAAAGAGACGTGACGAGGAAATGAAAGCTTGTGGGCTGTCAAACAACATCTAGCTAAAAGTGATGGCGATGTTTTGCTGAAGCTCTGCTATCCACCCAAAACGCACAAGGGAAACATAATAATGAATGCAAGGAAAGGATATCAATTACAATTAGGATGAATCTGATTAGCTTAAAAAAAAAGAAAACTTACATCATTTCAGATGATTTGCTTTTTTCACGCTTTTTCTCACTACATATCATGGCAAACTTCTTGGATTTTAAAAGCTTGATAAAGGAAAAACACAACGAAAAATTTAAAACTGAGTATGAAGCAAGGCATTGTGACACTCTCCCTCGAACCTACAAATTATATACGACTGAGACTGAGTTTTCAACGTAGGACTTTGCACAGAAGTGTAGCAGTTCAAGTTGCCACATTCCATATAGTACACATAGGTAGAGAAAGAAGTCAGCACGAACTATTATGAATAGAAATGTACTGGAGAGAGAATAATTACAGGGATAAAAAAGGGGATTTAGTAGGTTTGGAAGACTACAAAGAGTGAATATGCCTGCAGCTTTGAAAACAATTTTGAACAATATCACCAATACTGTCAAGCTATTGCATCCTAGCATAGCAACTCGATGACTCCAACCACACAGTCTACGCATACCAAAGTGGCTGGCTCAGACCAGCTGTCAAAGACTTCAAGGACTGATGCCATGTTTTGATTAAACCACTCCTTACTCTTTTCCGAGTCCTAATACTGTTAGATCACATTGCGGAACAATAGAGGCGAAGACTTGGCATGCGTGTCCTAGACATCTCAATCAATGCAGATTCGCAACCTCATTCACTAACTTGCCACCACAGTACTACTCAAAATATCATACCACTGCTGTGTATTAAACACATTTTTAGATCGACAGCCGGGTATCAATCGAAAAACGTATGTAGTGCACAGCAGTCCTCCTTTATAGCTTGAGATATGACCATTGAGACTAGAAGATATAAAAAGGTTATTTGTCTTTGACGACATGTAGAACTCAGTCACACTGAACAAATTTTTTCATGTACCAGACTACGAAGCATACTTATTGTGGTAGGGCAAATGACGCTACCTCACTTCCTCAGGTTAAAATAAGGTGAACTGCGATTCAAAGCCAGGGCCCGTTGTTTGAAATTCGAGTCCTTAAGCCATTTCCACTCTACAATCAGAGACATTACCAATCTAAAAGCCCAGAATTATTTGTATATATTATTTAAACGCAGAAAAAAAACTTGGTACAAATATGGCACCAAGAAAGATGCGCCACACAATTTTATTTCATTTTTTGTGTGAGGGCTGAGACATTGCCCGGGCGCCCAGACAGAAGCAGGTGGTTTTATTAAGGGACCAGCCCCCGAGCCTTTGACTTGGAGTCTAATCCGCAAGACAGCAGAGCAGCGTCAGGAGCTGCATTTCCATGGTTTCCGGTGACCCATATGGGTTCATACGCCATTTGAGCCGACTGGATTCTGGAGCCCATGTACCCTACGGTAACTGCTCTTAGTTTAGTCGCTATCCAAACAACCTTCCTGACATGGTAGGACCTGCAGGGATATGAGCTCCAGCCAGTTTAGCTTGTTGGGTCATTGCGGTATTCAAGCCCGACCACCACGACAAGGTAGCAGTTGTCGGCGGGGAATTATTTGTATGATGGTCAGAATATTTTCATTTCGTATCTGGATGGTATGCAGATACAGAAGCGAATAACGTGCGCACCAAGGGTGACAGAATAATTGAAAAGAAAATATATTAAAAGAGGGTTACCGAGAAGAAAATTTTCTTGTCGGCGAAGTCCAATGTGTATATTCCGTGATTTGAAAGAAGAATATGTCAAAACACTCAGGTAATGAGTTATGACAAACTAAGATACAGACAGACTACTATTTCATGCACGTAGATCAATGTCAACGATTCCTAACTATATCATTTATAGTTTCATAGATTCAGAACTAGCAGCCTACACGATACTGGCCGTCCAATTAGGTCGTGGATTTATATCACATTTCAGTGTGATCGATCACAATTCGCATTCTTCAAGCATAATTCCATTTCGTTAAAACAGGTTGTATAAGTGAACTTTGGGTAGGAAAGAGTAAAATACCTCGTTGCAGACATCGAAAGTCGGTGGCGATTAACAGTCGTCTTTGACTGACTTACCCATGACATAAGCAGGTCATATGATTACAAAGAGTTTTCCCAAATTTGCGTTTAATAAGGACAGAGAATAGCAGATTAGTGAGTGCACAACACGCTCAATTTCTGACGATCAATCGAATATCTCACCTGTAACATACGTGCAGTAATCTCATGAAAGCTAAACAAGCTTTTGTGTTTGTATCGAGATTTCGTGAGCCATAAATCCACTAACGCAGATTAAACTTCCTGGTCCGGCTAAATGTAGTGACTGGGTCAAATGGGTCCACTTTTCATAAATCAAACAAGATATAAATGAACCTAAATTCACTTTCATAATGTTATAACCGGAACACTCTGACCTAGTAGACTCTGAACGAATAATAACGTGATTGTTATTATTAACTTTAATGCGCTGGCTGATCTGTCCTAATTACACGTCAAGATTAATAATAATAATAATACTGCTGGGCCACAAAAAGACAGAAGATAAGACTAGATGTTGGTAAGAGAGCTTTTACAACAACAACAACAATCAAAAAAGGCTGACAGAGCTTGCGTATATGTTTAAAATGACCTTGAGAAGCATTAAACTCACTGACAAATTAAGACAGTAAACGACCAATAAGATTTCAAAGGTGATAAGCAGAGTGAGAGAAAATCAAGTCATAAATCAATAAGTGGGATGAGAGAAATACGAGCAGACATGTAAAAATGACATGTGGAAACTTAGGTCTGCATATATCACAGGCACATATATTTAACGAGTTGATCACGGATTGATATCAGTTAGAGAACCATTGAAAACCAGGGAGTACTGGACAGCTGCTGTTTCATCCTAGTTTGGGAATCATCGGCAGTGGGTGCGTACTGCCGATGATTCCCAAACTAGGATGAAACAGCAGCTGTCCAGTACTCCCTGGTTTTCAATGGTTCTCTAACTGATATCAATCCGTGATCAACTCGTAAAACATAACTAATCCTTACAAACCAAAACATATATTTAAACCAGGAGTAAGACGAATTAGATTAACGAATGGAAGCGAACTGTGCATCGGTATTTCATTCGTAGAACGGTTGCCAACCACACCTCAAGTGGTCTGGGGTTCGATTCCCGGCTGGCGCACACCTTAACATCGATGAGCCGGTAGTAAGGTCAGTAAAGACGAAAGGTTGGAAGTGAGGTTAGCAATTCCACCCCGCCCCCCCACGGGTGAAACTAAAACCAATGCTACTGAAACTTCAAAGCTCTAGCTTGCAGCCCTATCTTCCAATGGAGGGGGGATATAGGAATAAAATAATATAATAAATAATAATGGAAGCAAACTGCCAACTGCGATATATATATATATATATATATCAGAAAAAAGACTAATTGACTTACTTCAGTTACAGGTAACGATGAAAATTCATCTACTAACTCCTTGAATTCTTCATCAGAACTACATGACAACGAGGCAGAATCATCTGAATCGGATAAATTCGGTAAGACTGAATCTTCTTCACATAATGATGAGATAGGTTGTTTGCCCTCATTATTATTATTATTATCATCAGAGGATGGTACATTGATCATATTTTCAAAAAAATTACGTTGCGATGATTGTAGATGACGAAAATTAGACTGAAGAAAATAAACAGTCAAAGCAAAATTAGCATTTCACCAAGTCTCATAAATGTTAAAATAAAGAAACAACCTTAGAATTGAAGCTGTGCGTCGTGGCACAGCGGTTAGGATTCTCGCCGACCATGCCCAAAGGTCCGAGGTTCGATCCCCTGCCGACGCACACCTGATATCAATGGTCGGCCTGCAAAATTTGGGCTACCGATATCCATGCTGAAAATTCCATACTTGTACCATAAATACAGTGAGGAATCAAGCTGTAATAAAAAAAATGATGAAAGGATTATTATCATTATTGTTTCCTTTGATTCCTAAAGGAACATAGGGCTTCAGCTGCACTTCTCTATTGCGTTCGCTTCTCCGCCAACATTTTCACCTGGCAACACGCGTCTGCTTACATCTCCTCTTCACAGATGAAAATATTATATAGTTTTAAACCTATGACTTGCTTTGTTGTTAATAACATAATTTTGGCTCTTTTATTCCTCCCTTATACTCTCTTATTTGTACTTTATAGTGAAAAACCTTCTTAAACATACTTAGCTACCTAAAATTATTATCATTGGATTACTTTTTTATTCTTTATTCTATTCCTTCTTTTGTGTATCTACTGGTCCCGACTATATTATCACTATGAGTATTACAAAATTGTCCTGTCATTAACCTTCATGTAATAGTAGTTTTGTGGTTATTTTTTTTGTTCGGCAATATTAAACTGACAATCTTGTTTGTGAAAGCCACTATCACCATCTTAAAATTTTGTATTACGCATGATTACACACACTACCACAACAAACACTGCATTAGTGCTGACAATAAAAAAACCTGGAATGTTTATTTTATGATTGCTTAGTGTTGTTCAATCAAATTAACTGATCATCTTGGCTATAGACATTCTTAAGAACATCTCATAACTTCTTGTAGCTGTTACTGTTCACCACGCATACACATATCATAGCTTCCACTACCCAATACTGAAATATTGGTGTTTATCTTCCTTTCTACTTGGTATTTTTATTTGCATTTTTTCTGTTATTTTTTCGTTTTTTTATATATTTTTTTGTAATACTCCTTTTAAATGTGCGATGAAATTAGATGCAATATTGTAGATATGTGCTGAAAATTCCACAATGTACCTCTAGTACTGTTTCCGGAATAAAAGCAAAAAATTATTATTATTTAATTTTAACACAATCTTAAAATATAACATTGTCATAGATCTAAAATGATATCTTGTATCTGTTTCCACTCTCCTTGAGACATTGACGGATGACAGCGTCTGTAACAATTCTTCTTTAGCCTTTTGATTGGCTGGTGTGAAGAAGAAAAAAGGGTAGTCAGCCATTGTTCTCGATAACTGACACATATTTGTCTCTATTTGCATTATTTGTGACTACGAGATCTAATTCAATCGAAGTGTATTACCCAGCTAGTTAGAAAGATTAATTTTGTGACTAAAACTCGGCAAATCGGTGATAAGGAAGAATATATCAATGGGTGAGATAAAAAATACCCATGTGATAACAATTAGAAAGACCTAGGTCAGTAAAGACTATTTTTCCGTAATTTCTCATACAATAATATTCTAAAAGGACACAGAAGTATCGATTAGTGTTGTATCTGTTGGTACCAAAATATACACACTTACATATCAAGAAAAACAAGAATGGATAGATTGCGGATGTTGATCAAGTAGTCCCACAACTATGTGTCACTCACTACAGTTGACAGACTAAATTAATACTATATATCAACCGAAATTTAAATTTTAAAAATATTGATTTCCTATGCGTTAATTTAAATAATCAACCAATCAAATTTCAGTATATTGATTATCGCTCACAAATCGTCCCAGTGTTACAGCATATGATTATCTTCATGAAAATCTGATTAGTTTTAATATAGAAATTTGTAAATCAATGCAACAGTTCGAATTGCTACCCTATTTATGCAGCACACAAAGCAAGAGAAGAGATTCAAAATGTAACAACAGAAGACAAGAGCCAGGCAACAGATCATCTGTTAAGGAAATCAACACATATTTATGCATTTTCAGGTACATTATTATAGATTATTGTTAGCAGGGAAAACCACAGTCTTCTGATTGGTTGTTTCTCAAAGAAAGTTAACCTTGCATCACTTTGTGGCAGTTTCTTGAATGCCAGACCATCTATGTGTTAACTGCATCCGCCTACGCAAAGCCTTTCCTCATTTTTCTCACGACCAATCAATAATGGGGACATAGACATTGACGGAAATTACTGTCCACCAATTTTGACTAACAGCCAGCTCTTACCACAAAGAGAGAGAGAGAGATAATAAACAGAAGTCAATGGTAATTTTTGTATGACTCATTCACCCTTTTGAAAAATATACCTTTCCAATATCAGTTTGTGTGAATCTCCTTGAAATTACCAATGCAGGTAAGGAAAAATCTACTCGGGAATTGTCAAATGTGCATTACTGTTAACTACGTCACTTGTGAAAATATTCAATAGAGATAACACTTACATACGTAAAATCTAAAAAAACATTAAGAGGTGAATAGGGTTTAGAAATGATCACCACTAGATTTACAAGGGCTCAGAAAGAGAGTACTGTTCAAAGAATGAGGTGTATTCAGGGTGCGTAAAAGCTGTACTTTTAAAGTTAGAATTTTCAGAAGTCAAAAGAGAGAGAGCGAGCGAAAAGAAATGTAGATGGATTACACACCAAATTAATGTGCAAGTCAGGAAGACCATAGTAGTAAAAGTGATTGAAAAAGCCGCTTTTATACATATACGCAGTTCAGGGTTTTCTTTGCATAGACAAAAGATTTAGCTGGGAGTACTTCGAACAACTTTTTCCGTAGCTTATATTATCTCTTTGAAGGATTTCTCCGTTGATACAAAATGATATATATTCAGCTGTTGGTCCGCCGAATTCTGTCTTTTGAAAGCCATGTTATCAGATGTTTTTGCGCACGTCTAGATAGTATCATAGCTTCAAATGGAGGAGCAAGTGATGCGCTTCATATGTATATACACATATCGATGCTACCAACAGTGGAACATTTTAATGAATGATAGTTTGCGTGGAAGAATTGGGACGTAGAGGTGCAGAAAAGGCTGCTTTTTCAAATTGCACCCAGTTTTTTGCTTAGAAGAATTATAGCTGTCAATTTCAGGTTTGCAGCCAACTTCTTCTTTGGTACTTCTGTCTTTTTACAGGTCGATCACGGATTGATATTAGTTTGAGAACCACTGAAAGCCAAAGAGTACTGGACAGCTGCTTCATCCTAGTTTGAAAATCATCAGCAGTGCGCAGCCACTGGAGTGAAAAGTTGTGACCAGTGAGGTACAGTGGGTCGAGTGTAAGGACGAATACTTGCCAGTGCCATATCATGAATTTGCAGAAGTTAGAATTCATGGGCTAGCCACTGAATCGGGTCCCAGTGGTTTAATGGTCTACAAGCTCCCCTTGTAACCAGAACGTCATGATGCTCGAAACCCTGTAGTGGGTGCGTACTACTGAAGCACAGTGCCAAACTAGGCTGACGAGACAACTGGTTTTCCAATGGTTCTCTAACTGATGTCAGCTCATGATGAAATCCTCCGACTTCTGTCTTTCGTAAATGATTACCAGTCTCACTTTTTTATATGTTTATTGGTGATGAATGCTAGTGAATCACCACCATTCTGAATCCATTTGCTTAACTACTCCCCCCCCCATATGTTTTTCATAATGAAACGTTGTAATAATCCACTTGTTTAATTTTCGACAAGCCAAATAAGACGTAATTTATTTGAAATGTGCGATGCATTTGAATATTCTGATCACATACACACGCACTTGTCATGCATATTTATTGATATAGAAGGCAAGAGATCATATATGATTACAATACAGATCAAACTATATACAGGTCAAGGTCACAGATGACGTAAGAATATAGGGTAAGAAAAAGGGTGGAAATATTACTGTAAGTAAAGTAAATTGAATCTATGTAGATGTGTATGACAAGTACGTGTGTGTGTGTGATCAGAATATCCGAAATGTCTTGCGCAAATGCATTACACGTTTCAGAAGTAGGGATTGTTCATACTTCTGCCTTGGCCGTAGAAGGGTAGACATTTATTTAATTTATTTATTCTATGTTTTTTTCCTTCACGTTCCCAGTGGAACATAGGGCTTCAAGCTAGTGGCTTGAAGTTTCTGTAGCAGTGTTTAATTTTACAGGATGGGGTTACTAGCTTCATGCCCAACCTTTCCTCTCCACCAGCATTATTTCTGGCTTAGCGAGGTAAAGGAGTGCGTCGGCCGGGGATTGAACCCAGGACCATGTGCATGGTCGGCTAGCGTCCTAACCGGTATGCCACCGACGCACTTATTCTATGCACCTTTCCCTTATTACTACGATTATTATTAGTAGTAGTACTATTCTCACTCTTAATTGTTTCAGCTTGTCCCGCTTGTCATTCAAAAACCAAAATGTTTATTTTTTATTTTTACGATACTGAATTCTGTCATATAAAATTTCACACCACATTCCGTAACATTTTATATTCGCTTACTATTCCTTTAATTATGCACCCCTTTCCAACATCTATACACCTTATGTATTATTCTATATATGACATTAATTATTTTGCCACTTGACATTTTACTATGATGACAATCACAAATATTTTAATGGCATTTCATACTACTATTATTATTTTTTCATATATTCACACCTTTGATCTAATTCTCTCGCCGGATACAATTTCTTAAAAACCACACGTATATAAACCATTGCACAGCTTGTTAATAAATTCCTTGTTGAAAAGAGTCTCTTCACTGAATATTGTGTCCTTAATATTATGGACAATCTGAATGGTGTTTGAAATAATCAACAAGCAGGAGAAACCTGGTCTTGAGTGGAATTTTGCTGAGGTAATCACAACTGAACGGTCAATAACAAATGTATGTAATGCATGAAGGGACTAAAATTTGATAAATAAACTTGCGAAACATAGTTA